TGCGATATGGGCGAGGCCAGCTCAACTACCCGCTGCCGGATTTGTCCAAGGTGGAGCCGCGGGTGAAGTTCCCAAAGGACGATCAGAGTTACCGCCCTCCGCGGAGCAGGACTCTGCCCATGAGGGCCAGGGGGTCAGCGAGCCCCGTGGTCTTCAAGTCTCCTGCGGAGATCGTCCGGGAGGTGTTGCTGAGCAGCGCGGAGGGGTCCCCGCAAAAATGCCCTACCCCTTCCACCACCATGGTGCCCGAGGAGTTCAAGTCCCCACAGCAAGCCACTGAGCTGGTGAAGCAGCTGCAGGTAACTTCCACCTCTCACAAACCAGGGAAGCCTCACTAGGAGAGAGACCAGGGATCTCTCTCTGCAGGATTGAAATCAGAGGGCGCTCCCTTTTCACTCCTATCATAGAATGTCAGGGTTGGAAGGGACCTCAGGAGATCATCTAGTCCAACCCCCTGCTCAAAGCAGGACCAATCCCCAGACAGATTTTTGCCCCCAGATCCCTAAATGGCCCCCTCAAGGATTGAACTCCCAACCCCTGGGTTTAGCAGGCCAATGCACAAACCACTGAGCTATCCCTTTCCCCTAAGAAGCTGGGCAGAAAGGGGCCACAGAGCATGGAGGGAATAAATGTTGGCGCCTTCACCTGTACGGTGTCGCCTCTGGACTAGGAGACAATGCTGACTGGGGACGTTCATCCCTCTGGAATCCCGGTCAGCATTGCCACGGGGCAGATCATTGCATGGGGTGTTAATGACGGGGCATTAGAATTAACCATAGGGAAACCACAGTCACTTATTCAGGTAGAATATTGCGTGCGCATGTGTGTGGAGGGGGAACTAATTTTTGATGTCTTGACTCTTGGTTTGCAGACTAAATTCTGAAGTCCCTATTATCAGAAGCCCTGGATGCACGGGCTTCTGCAGCGTTTACATGTGCAGTGTGTGTGTGTCTGTACACATGCACTGGCACTTTCAGACCCGATGGCTAACTGCTCCTTCAGCATCCGCCTTCCCCCAGCTGGACATTTATGTTGCTATATAAATACTCGGTGACAGTAACACCCCTACGTGACCCTGACGTGTGCTCTCCTCCTTCTCCTTCCAGGAGGACTACCACAGACTGCTGACCAAGTACGCTGAGGCTGAGAACACCATTGACCGGCTGCGGCTGAGAGCAAAGGTACAACGGTCAGGGAGTCTGAAACAGGCCAGAGATTGGGACCGCACCCCTCCTTGCAGCTGTTTCTTCCAGATGCTTTGGGGGCTGTCACATTGGGCCGGCAGACTCTCAAGAGCAGGCTGCCTGTGAGATTTACAATAGTAAGAGTATTTAAGATGGGGAGGGATCGTTATCTCTATTTTACAGCTAGGGAAAGCCAAGCACAAAGAGGTGAAGTGACTCCCCGTGGTCACGCAGCAGGGAATAGAACCTTAGTCTCTTGCCTCTCTGTCCAGGACTCTAGCCACTGGGCCGCGCTACCTTCTGTCCAGAGATTGCTCAAGACCTGCCCTTTCCACGGTATTGTGGCAGCCCTGGCCTGAGTCAGAAGCAGAAAGTGCCAAGGCAGCCAGGAAATTACGGAATAAATTACCCAAGCTCTCTGGAGCTTCTGAAGAGATTCACTTGTGGTTTGAGAGCAGGGCGAGTGTCGCGGTTGGTTCCCATTTCATCCGGCCGGGTTTTCCCTTGTCGATGCGGGAGCTTGAGGAGCAAGCAGGGGCGCTGCATGCGGGGGATCTTAAGCCTTCCCAAAACCAGAGAGGTTTATGCAACTCAGGTGCAGTTCTGAGGATCGGGCTCCGGCCAAATGGCCGGAGTGGCTTGTCCCTGGTTGAAGCTTGGATTGTCTCTAAGGTTCAGAATCTGCCCCCTCAGCCTGTCTGCTCATGAGGGGGGCTGTCTGTCTCCAGGGTTAATATCAGTCTGAGCAGTATGGATTCATACCCACACCCCAGCGAGGGCAGCAGTCTGATTTCCATCCCAGGTTTGGTGAGTCTGACAGCACACGCGCACGTGGAGGGTTAGTTGCTCAATAGGAACCCGGCTCCCAGCAAAAGGCTCCATCTCTACTCCCCTTCCAACGGCCCAAGCTTTGAATTCGCAGCGTCCTCGCACGCTGCCTCTTGCTTCCTTCCTCTTTCTGGGGAGCTGCCGAGCTGCGGTTTAGCGAGCGCAGCGCTGGGGGAAGGGAAGTTGAAATCTGGCGCAATGTCACGTTGCAAAGCTTCTCGCTGTCTCCCTGTGGCGGGGTGACGATTCACCGGCGCGGCGCCTCCTGCTGGTTGTCCAGGGAAATAGCTCTTTCCCAGCTCCGGAGCGCCCTCTGCTGGCTGAGGTCTCGCCTGCCACTGACCCCCCCGTGTCCCTCCCAGACCCCGGTGCCCTTTGCCCAAGGGTTCTGCCCACCGCAGTACTCCCTCTGTCTCTGGGTCTCCCCTCTCAGGGGAACCCCCCCAACCCTCCTATCCCCACCTTGCCTCAGTGGCTACTGCCAGTCACCATCTAGCCCCCGCTCACTGGGGCAGACGCAATCTGTAAACCACTCATCGCCGGCAAGGGGGGTTGGACCAGCTGCCTCTGCCTATCTCTGGGTTGCCCCTCTGCAGCCTCAGTACCTTTGTGGGCCCTTAACTCGGCCTGCAGCCTGGGGCTGTGCTAGGCTGGAGCTCCCCAGCTCCCTCTGCCCTTCCCCAGCACTGCTCCACCCTAGGTACCCTCCTCAGCTCCCGGGCAGCCAGGTCCTTCTCCCCACCCACCCACCCCATGATCGTTCATGTGCGTTCTGAAGTGGCTCTTGCGTGCCTGCCTCTGGTAGGTTCACTTGCCATCAATGTTCTGGCCCAGCAGTTTGCTGTCCGGGAACCTTCGCAGAGACGGCAGGGCTGGTTCTCTGGTACCCTGCACCTGGTGGTGCTGGGCCTGGGTGGAACCGCAGCTGCAAGGCACGTGCTGTGTGCAGATGCACTAAGACGGGGGGGCTCTGCCCCTGCAGTTGTTTCTTTGCGTTGTCGTAGGTAGCTGGAACCAATGAGGAATACACCTGCTTTCCTGCCATTGATTAGGCAAATGGTCTGCTGCAGGTGCAGCCCGGCTCGTTCGCTCTGTCTAAAGTACTTCTCTGGCCCCCATCACCATAGCACAGGGGTGGGGAAATGTTTTGGCCCGAGGGCCACATCGGGGTGTGGAAATTGTACGGCAGGCCTTGAATGCTCACGAAATTGGGGGTAGGGGTGCAGGAGGGGGTCAGGGCTCCGGCTGGGGCTGCGGGCTCTGGGGTGGGGCCAGAGATGAGGCGTTCAGGCTGGGGCAGGGGGTTGGGGTGCGGGGAGGTGGTGGTGAGGGCTCCGGCTGGGGGTGCGGGCTCTAGGGTGGGGCCAGGGATGAGGGGTTTGGGGTGTAGGAGGGTGCTCCGGGCTGGGACCGAGGGATTCAGAGGGTGGGAGGGGGATCAGTGCTGGGGCAGGGGATTAGGGCACGGGAGGGGCTCAGGGGTGCGCTTACCTCAAGCAGTTCCCGGAAGCATGTTCCTCACTCCGGCTCCTACGCGGAGGCGGCTCTGCGCGCTGCCCCGTCCGCAGGCGCCGTTCCCGGCCAATGAGAGCTGTGGGGGTGGTGCCTGCGGACGGGGCAGCGCGCAGAGCCGCCAGACCATGCGTCGGCGTACTATGTAGGAGCCAGAGGGGGGTCATGCTAGCTGCTTCCCAGGGCAAGCTCCCAACCACGCTCCCTGGCTGGAGCTGAGGGCCGGATTAAAAGGTCTGACGGGTCGGATGTGGGCCATCGTTTGCCCACCCCTGCCATAGCACCTCACACTCTTTAATGTATTTGTCTTCACAACACCCATGGGTGGCAGCCCAGTGCTGTTATCCCCATTTTACATATGGGACACTGAGGCACAGAGAACTAGATCGTCAGCGGGTGCAAATTATTACAGCTCCATTCACTTCAATGGTGACTTGCCCACGTCCTAGATTCCAAGGCCGGAAGTGTGACCATCAAGTCTGACCTCCTGGATAACGTAGGCCACAGAACTTCCATGGCGGAAGAGCAGGGAACCGAACCTGGATCTCTCGAGTCCCAGGCTAGCGCCCAAACCACTGGGCAATCCTTCCTCTTGCCGCTCCCTGGCATTCTGGGGTGTAGCTATGCTCCAAGCAACCCTGTCCTCCTAGCTTTGGGGCCACCTGTCCCCTTTAGCCTCCCATGCAGTGCCTTACGCACACGCCAGCCGGGACCCCAGTCGCTCTTTGCCGCGCGCTGCTGTAGCAGGTAGTGCGGCGGGACGCCCCGGAGAAAAGCCGCGGCTGAGAGAGCTGGCACCAGTCCGCGTGCTGTGATCCCAGAGCAGGGGGAGGCTGTGCGGATGCGCTCAGAGTGGGGATGGTCTGTCTGGGATGTGGCAGGACTGGCTGAGGAGGATCGGTCTGTGAGCAGGGCTTTGGGGGGAGGCCCCAGTGAGAGGCGTGACTGGGGCTCAGCGTGGAGGAGGCGCTGCCTGTGAACAAAGTCTGTGTCTGGCGGGGGGTGGTACGTCTGGGAATGCAGCTTGGATGGGGAGCCCAGCCATGTGCAGGGAGGTGGGGCGTGGACAGGGCGTTATCTGGGAATGAGGCCTGGGGGTAGAAGGGCAAGTGACTAGCTAGGCTTGGGGTGATGGAGAGACACCCTCTGGGAGTGAGGGCCTCTGTGGGGTGAAGGGTCTACCAGTGAGCAGGGTTTGGAAGTGAGAGCGGGGGACCATTCCTAAGCAGAACACGTCCCTCCCTCTTCCTGCTCGGTGTCTGGTCCCCTGTCTGCAAGGCCCCCCCCAGGCCTGGTGAAGGCCCGTGCTCCCCTGCAGGGCTTGGAGCTGTCATCTTGGCTGGCACGGCACATCTCCCTCTGGCACTGCCGTGCGACGGGACAGGGGTTGACACGTCTCAGTGCAACACCTCGCGTGCCGGGAGCTCCCTGGGCTCCGGGGGGCGCTGTCACTCTGCACTACAGCCTCCCAGCCGCAGGATCGCTGTGTACCCGCTCCCAGGTCCCGGCTGGCTGGGGAGAGAGGGGGCCTCGTTCAGCACCATGGCCCTGCAGGCAGACAGGTGTGGGTGAGGGCTGATCCCCACCCCCATCTGGAGCCCAGCCTGGGGGTCCCCCTAGGATAATGGGTTTGGCAGCCTGTAGATATGGGGTGGAACCTCTTTTTCCCAAAGAATCCATCCAGCTCTTAAAGCGACAGTGCAGCACCCAGCGCTATTCTCCAGGCTTTCCGGTTGTTCAGCAATACATTCTCCTCTGCATCACACGGGGAAGGATTATTGGTGAACTCAGGGGCTGGGGGGACCGAAGTGCAGACTCTAGCTGTGCTACAAACATGAAGGAGCAGCTCCACTCTGCTGGAGGTGACGTGGCCTGGAATAATGCTTTGCACTGTTTCAGCACCTGCCCTGTGAGGACCTCAAAGCACATTAGACATTAAACCTCCCCTCTTGAGGTAGGGGTTCTCCCCACTCTACACACAGAGGAACGGAGACACTGAGAACGTTAAGGACCTGATTTTCGGAACAGCTGAACACCCCACCCCTCCAGCTGTCCATCGGAGTTGCAGGTGCTCAGTGCTTCTGATAATCAGGCGTCAAGTGACTTGCCCAAAGTTACCCAGCCAAGTCAGAGCTGGGAAAGAACCCAGGAGTCCTGACTCCCAATTCCTTGTTCTAACCATTAGGAAAGACTAACCCTCAATATAGGGAAAGTAGCATTAGCTTTACTATAGACCAGAACGAATCATCAGCCGAGAACATCACTTATTTGTCAGAATTCTACATAGGATCATTACCGCCAGCCCGTCCCTCTGGGGAAGCCAGCCCTTAGTCCCCTTAGGGAAAGGGCTTGCTGGTTAGGAGAAGTAAGACAGAAAGAGGCAGATTTACGAACGCTGGCCTCCATTTGTTGTGCGCACAAATTGCAGATGAAAATAATTGGGGTGTTTAGAGAGGGGTAGAGTTCTGGGCCGGCAGTTTAGGTCAGGTAGATAGCTAGGGGTCTCAGCTCCAAATGCCTGAACAGCTCTAAGGCCCTGATCGTGGATGTAAACATGGAAGTCTGCTTAAGATTGAAGGTTTGGCTGAAACTAACAGAGAACAGGGACTGCTATGCGTTTCTTCTGGACCCCTTCTGGAGAAGCACTGCAGTGTGTC